ACAAATCCCCTCCCATCTGGCAACCATCAGTTTGTTCTCTGTATCTGTGAGTTTGTTTGTTTCGTTTGTTCATTTTTTTTTTTATATTCCACATATAAGTGAAATCACATGGCATTTGTCTTTCTCTGCCTGACTTACTTCACTTAGCATAATAATCTCTAGGTTCATTCATGTTGTAACAAATGGTAAAAATTTCATTCTTTTTTATAGCCAAATAATATTCCATCGTATATATGTATTACTTCTTCTTTAACTGAACGTCAATCGATGGATAGCTTAGGTTGCTTCCATAGATTGGTTATTGTAAACAGTGCTGCAGTGAACATAGGGGTGCAGATATCTTTCCGAATTAGTGTTTTGGATTTCTTCAGATAAATATTTAGAAGTGGAATCCCTGGGACATAAGGTAGTTAGCTCTCTAATTTTTTGAGGAATCTTGGTGCTATGGACCTTTTTAGAAACCTGCAATCCTCATTTACTAATTAAATGCCTAGGTCATATCTACAAACTGCTGTGGAAATTGTTAGCATGTGTAGGAGGAAGCAAGATCAATACTAGGACATCTCAGGTCTAGAAATGGGCTTCTTATGATTTACCAGGACATAACATTTATAAGAGATTCTGAGTAATCACAGAACTTAGAGAAATTGCAACCATTTACCTGTTGCTCAGAGAAATAGGACACTATGACTATAGGCCAAATTGCTAAAAAAAAATTAGTCCAAAAGATTAAAAATAATGCAGAAGTGGAATATGCTTTTGCTTTTTTCATAATCTGATAAGAATTCAATGTTTTAGTTAAAACAACTAAAATAAGCAATGATTATTTGGTATTTTAGAGTGAGAGTAATGTGGCAGCCTGGGAAAAAGTGGAACTAAATGAGAGGAAATGTAGAAACTACAAATGCCTAGCAATAAATGGTCGAGGAAAAAAAATCAAAAAGCAAATACAAGTAATTTTTGGCTGAAAAACTGGAGGCTAAAATACACAAATCAAGCTAATTTCTAAAGAATCTACTTATTTTGTATTTGTAGTAAACATGTTATGGTAACAAGTCTATTGCTTCAGTTTGAGAGTCAAAAACCATAATGGAATTAGCTAAATTTGCTTATTTAAAAAAATACCTTCAATTTCTTCTCCAAATTTGAGTTTTCGCTTGTACTTTTCACATTATGATGTAGAGCATCTACTGAACAAATACCAATTTGAGCTAGAATGCTATTAGGTTTTGATGATCTACCTATTTTTCAGCCTAAGGACTAAGTAATTTTCTAAATTCACGTTTTCATCATTTTAATGAAAATGAGGTAACATGCTAAATGAAATTTTCTTAGATTGTATTAAGGTTTATATACTCGAGTTTTTCACATACACTGTCATATATTTTCCTCTAAACATGCAGATATATTAATGTTTTTACTGCTAACAGCATACTGCAGGTTTAAAAATTGAATTTATTATGTCTCTTGACCTTTTTAAAGCACTAGCAACAGTATAATGGTACAGAGCTCAGCTAAATTTAAATAGTTTTGTTATTACCCTTGAAAGTTTTTATCACAACGGTGTCAATTTAGTACTTTATGTCCATTTGCACCTGTTCTTAATACAAAATATGGAATTCGCTTATTCTCACTATATGTTTCTATTACTACATAAAATATTAAAGCCTGCCTTGTTATAAAGTTATCAAAATGATGTCATTTCTGTACAACAGTAAAGATAGTTTTCTAAGCCAAAATTTCAGTATTTTTGATAACTATAGGAAATAGTTTAGTGTATGCCACTATAGTAGAATTCAATAAATAACTCCCTAAACATACCAAACAGTAGTATATTTACTATATTTTTTAAAAAGGAGATTAATTTGGCAATATTTCACATGGAACAAAACAGAACTGAGTGTGATAAAACTTCTTAAGACTTCCAAAATGTCTAACATACAACTTAGATACAGAAAAAAATTTGACAATAAATTTTCTCTCACAAACGACGCAAAATTTAAGTAAATCTAGCAAATAAGGAAATTTGTCAGCCACAGACATCCTTTTTGTTTTGGTTTCAGATGGCAAGTGCTTCTAGAAATATTGTGTGCTATACAAACTCTTATCATCTGCTGAAAGGTGATGTTAGACTTTCATTAAAGACAAACTTTTATCATGTTAGACCCAATAAATCATTAATATCTCTTCATAAGGGCTTGGACCACATCCTGACCACATTCCTAAGCAATATACATTACTTTGCACATCACAATTATGTTACAAATGTCTAATGTAACCCATGTTTACCATTAAGGTTATTTATCTGTGGGTGTCCTTCCTGGGTCAAGCCATTCCCTATTGAAACTCTGGTTCAAATATTCCTCTGGAAATGACCAAATTCTCAAGTGACAAGTGCAAGTAAATTCTTATACTATATTTATAATTATACCACTTGTGTATATTTGATAAATGATTGAAGAAGAATCTTGATCACTTTACTAGTAAATGAATTGGTTTACTCTGGTGTTTCCCAAAGTTTGGTCAATAGAAGACTAGCTCTGGGAGATGCATTTTAATAAAAGATACCACAGTGAAATTAGTTTAGGACTGATGCATGTTCTAATCCCTTGCTGGAGGCTCTATACATGTTAGTATATTAAAGACTCTGAGAGGTCTGAAAAGTAAAGAAACATATTCCAATTTTTATCCAATGTTTTTTGAAATTTACCTGACCATGGAGATGGGCACTGTTGTCACCATATTCAATATATACATGAATAATCATAATGAGATAACTCTCTCCAAATTAAAGATTATCCTATTTTCTCCAAAAGACCTAAATGTTAATTTTGTGTTAAGGCACTGTATAAAGTTTTCTGACACTTAAAATTATTTTGGGATGATTTATTTTATAATTTAAAAGATTTTCAATCATTTAATTGAATGAAATTATATATGTATATAAACACATATATATGTGGGTGTGTTTATTTATCCTACAAATTACTTGATGGAATAGGGAAATACCGAACTACTCACATCGACTTCATCTTTATCTGTCACTGAAAAAAAATCAAAATTTCAACTTTAAGCTTTCATACAATATTTTAACTTTATAAAAATAATAATTTTTTAAAAGTACATTTTTAAAGTAAATGTTTATACTATTGGTTAATTCCAAAAAGATATACATGCATTAAAGCTCCTACCACAAAATAAGGTTTTTATCCAAAGTGCATCCATTCTTTAAAGGAAAATTTTCTAATTTCTTCATAATGTTAAATAATGGAATGAATGGCAATAAAACTAGAATATGCTTCTTATTGAAATATAGTATAATGTTTTAACGAAGATAAAATTATAAATTTCTGAAAAAAAGTGAACTTCTTTGCTGAGATGCTGACATAATTCTATTCATATTAGTAATACTGTTGTAATCAATGATGCTAGAAAGATGTGTCATTTCTAAATTTCAGAAAAGTGTGTCTTCCAGCTAAGAGAGAAATTGACACTAATTTTGTATATTCGACCTGACTTTAATAGCAGCTAATGTTATCCCCACAGCGCTATTGCTGTCTGTACAGCAGAAAAAAATTACTGTGAAAATGTACTTCATCCCCCTGAACAATTAATTGAAAGCCAATCTATTTTCCTACTAAAAATTGTGTGTGTGTGTGTGTGTGTGCAAAACAAAAATAACCATTTGATGGCATACTGTAGTTTTCTTATGTTAAACATTTTTTATTATAATAACATATCTAAGTAATTGAAATAACTTCACCATACAGATATCACATGCTAAAGCATGACAATGCCATACTAATTGCACATTGTGTTGACATTTCAAGCATATTTTCTGTAACAACATTTGCATTCATATACAGGTAGTAAAGCATATGGGGATAATTTGAGTCATGATTCATGGTAGCAAAAGTATTGCTTTCAAGCTAATCTTCAAACCCAGAATCTTCAGCAAATCTATTAATATTCGATGCCATAGGATGTACAGTAGTTATTGTATGAACCGACTACCTCAAGAACAAGAATTGTTGTTAGCCTTTGAAAGAGAAATATTACCATTATCTGATTACTTTTGTAAGTCTTCTTACTAACATAGAAAATGTTAGTCTATTGAATGATGATTTTACTAATAGTTTTCAAATAAGTGAGAATAAAAATAAAAGCCTTATGTTGCTCTTCTTAGATAATACAGCCCAGCTAGTCAGAATGTATTATCTGACTAGTTTTCCTTCAATCTATCATATACCCATTTATGACAAAACAAAACAAACAAAAAAAAGAGCAGCAATCTCAAAGTGTGCAATAAGTTTTAATATATTAATTTTTTGGTTACAAGACTGTTATTTGTAGCCGTGTACCTTGACTCCAGGCAATTAATGTTTTTTAGACATGGACTTCAATTTGATTTTTAAAAATCTCAGCAGACAAATTAACTAGATCCAATGATTCATTATCCAACTTTTATTGTTGCTGAGGATAAAAATAAGGCAAGATTTCTCTTTCTTGACTTTGTCCATGCAAAGGTCAAAACTTTGAAGAGAACATAAAGTATAAAAAAAAGAAGGGAGGGAGGGAGGAAGGGAGGGAGGGAAGGAAGGAAGGAAGGAAGGAGGGAAGGAAGGAAGGAAGGGAAAAATTAAAAAACTAAGATGTTCATTCTGAAAAAATAAAAGTTGGGTTTAAAACAGAGACTGATTTTTTTTAAATGCAAAAAAAATGTTTAATGGACATGGAAAGAAGGAAGGAAGGAAGGAGGGAGGGAAGGAAGGAAGGAAGGAAGGAAGGAGGGAAGGAAGGAAGGAAGGAAGGAAGGAGGGAAGGAAGGAAGGAAGGAGTAGGAAATAACATTTTAGTCATAAATACATTTCTAAAATTTTAATTTGTGCATAAGTAATATTAGTCCAAAATATTTAGATAACTAAGTCCTTGAAAGTCTAAATCCTTCGATTTAAAAAAGAAAGCATATTTTAAAAAATCAGGTCACAGAAACACATTAATTGTAGTTATACTTTTTATTGTTTAACCATTAGAATCAAGTTAACTAAGACTCAAAATGTAAATCAGCTTTAGAGAACAGAATGGAAAAGTATTTTCTGTCATTCTTTTCGAGGTATTTGCTATTATTTTAAAAAGAGTATACATTTAAGAATAAATTAGTGCTTTATAGAAAACTAAAAATAATAGCATTTATGCAACTATCAATTTTTTGGTACTTTCAAAAAGGTCAAGTAGTGTGTATGTTTAGATTTAAAGAGAATTTTTAAATGAAATGGCTTTAACACGCTAAAGAAGAAAATATTTGGATTAATTTATATTAAAACACCTGAAATTTCCAGTTAGGTAACAAAATTCTACAGTCATATACATTCCAAATTAAAAAGAGAATTAGAATGAAATCTTTTTCTTGATGTCTAGAAATCACTGTCATCTAGTCGCGTGTAAATATTAAATGAAAAGAAGGTTGGGGTTTTTGTTTGAGTTGGTTCATTTTAGTTTTAGGGAGAAGAAATTAGTAAGACTTTTTGTGTATTTAGACCTACAGATATTTGTATATATCTTTGCATCTTATAGATAACCAGGAATATTCAACTATGTTCTAGGCAGAGGTTACTGTTGCCATTTCCACATATGGCCCTATTATAATTTCATTTTTATATATGCAAGGTAAATGAAATTAAAGTAAAATAAAATTTATTGCTAGTAACAATACTCGTAATAAGAATCACAGTATTTCTTTCGGCAGATTACAAATGGCAACTAATCCACAATCCTGGATTATTAAAGTGAAAACTAATCTGCAATCTCATACTATGTTCACAGATGATGATTTAAAATAAAAAGTTTGCTTTTTATACAGTTCTGGAAATCATTGCAATCGTATACACTTCTGGGAAGCATTCCAATCTTAGATTTACAGAATGATCAGGGATTTTTTTAAATAACAGAATAAAAATATGCTTTTATTATAAATAAACCAAATTCCCTATTAAAAACTCCTGGTAAGGTTGAATAGCTTGTGGAATTTTTCAGATACTTATTTTCTCTCCTAGAAGAGAGAGCCAAAGCCACACTATCACTTATACTGACATGTTTTAACTCCATGAATAAAAAATGTATAAGAAAAACTAAGAAATATTTTATACTTCTAAACATTTCTATGGCCTCTGGAGACTTTCTAGTTTATTACTGCATCTTCTCTTCTTGGTTTCTCATTAGAGAATAAGTACTACAGCAACCATAGACCACAGCATACCAGGTAGTAGATATAAATAATGAGTCCATGGCTTTATTTACAACTTCATCATAGCAAACTGGATCAGTATAAATGGGCGAATGTGGGCCTATTTATACTGCTCAGAAAAAAGCAGACTTAAATAACTAGAGAAAGGAAATGTTTTAATCAATTATTTGCATCATTTTATGTATTTAAATTTACTCTTGGTTTTTAAATTTTTTTGCATTCTGTTTTTTTCCTAGGGTGACAGGGCTCATCCCCATGTCAGACATTCTTAAATAGAAATTTCACTCTTATGCAACTAAGAACAGAAGTTCCAAAGCGTTTACTCTAGCAAATTAAATAACCATTTTTTTATTTAAACTAACACAAGTGAGTGGCCAACAAACTGTACTGATATCATATACCAGACACTTGAAATTGTCTCATTCATGGACAAATTGTGAATTTAAAAGAAAAATGACTAAAAATACTCCATGAAAAGGCCTACTTGCTGATCATTCTTCTAATAATTTTGTAATAGCCCAATCTTTGCATTATTTATTCTAAAAAATTCTGTAACATATTTAAGAATTCACAAAATAAAGTCACCAACACTCAGTTACACTGTAATTTCCTTCATCCTGACATCCTTATTCTCTTGCACCAAAAAGACAATAACAAATTCTTCTTTGGGAGGAATATAGCAAGAAAAAGTATCTATTGGAATATGGATGCTAGGTAGGCATAAGAGTCAAGTAGCTAGCAATAACTTAGAAAATAACCTATTTTAGCCAAAAACAGTCTTAGAATATGGCCTTAAGAGCAAAGTATATCTAACTTATAACTTTGGGGTGCCAATTATCCAGCTTGTTAATTAAACCAGGCCAGTTTGCCTCCCTCAATTCTCCTTTGACTTTGGGGTCATTTCTTGATTTATTGGAAATAGCTTTTAGATTAATAAAAGGAGGTAAAACATTCATGAATTTTGCAAATAATTAGCATCCGTTAGAAAATAAAACTTCTGGGTGAATATTGCAATTTCTAAGGATTGCCATGTCGATGATCATGTTCTTTATATTTTCATGGAAAAGTGAAAGCTTACTCGTTTTTGAAACTGTCAGGGAGAAAAGTAAACGGCTATGAAACTTATGCAAAATAACTTCGAATGAAAAGAAACTTCATACTGTAATTTAAAAAGACTTCTCAAGGGTACATCATGACTAATAATATCCAGTGATCAGAATCTTCTATTTGCAATAATTTAGATTATTTCCTTTGGTGCCATGTAAAACTGTATATTAGACTTTGCAATGTAAATTGGTCTCAACATTGAAAAACTTAGAAGTATGAGACATTATCCTGTAAAATTGAAATAAATTTGAAAAGTAAATTCTACTACTTCCGAAGAACAGAAAAAAATGTATTTGACCATAAGTACCAATTGGAGCTATACTTTCCAAATAAAGGCGAGTAGTATCAGATACAAAAATTATACGATTTTGTCATTATCATCATTTTTTGTTCTTTATGTGATTCCCAATGAAAAGTAAAACTAAAAGCTAGTTTATGTTTTCTTTATTTTTAACTCACTGGATTGTCTTTCATTTTAGATCATAATATGAACTTCGAGATCCTTACTGAAAATGTACATTATCATTAGTAGCTAAATTTCCACATAGAGGAATAAAATGTTGAAGAATCAGGTTGGGATTTTTATAGTACTTTACAGTGTGCTACAGTTATGATAAACCCGTTTTATACTTAATCCTATCATCAAGCAACACCAGGATTCTAATTTTTTTCATTTTAAATGGCTACTATACATAAGAGAATTAATAAGGTATTATACTATTAATGCTTTTTCAAGTCAAAAGACGTGTTATCTAGAAAATAATTTAACACTGTAATGGGATCTTCAGGATCAAATTCTGTTTTATATATTCTGCAGCAAAAATAACATTTCTAGTAGGAAGGTATTAGTTATAAACCTAGCAAATTCTAGACATCCACATATTTGTGTAAACAGTATTAACATGGTTTATTACATTTCCAGAAAGGTTAAGTCTTATATCCAGTTTTCTGCTAATTCTTCTTTCATATAATAAATATATATGTTATTTGAGTGCATGTGTGTATATATTTTCACACATATATGTCGTATATACATAAAACAGCACTTAATGGTTGCTTTCTTTGCATGTTTAAATTAGGGAGAAAATGAACTGCTATTATGCATAACCCATGGCGAGCTTCTTTTCTGTTTCACAAATGGTCATATCGTGATGTAAACAAAACACTGGAGTGAGTCATTCCGGGTGAACTGTATTTCAAGTTGTAGGTTGGTGTTCTCATGAAGAATTGTGTACTTCCTGGTAGTAAATACCTAAAAATAATAGTTCAAAAGTTAGACTTTTAAAGTCAAGTTAGCATTAACATCTCTCACTAAAGTGTTATGTGACTAGTAATTTATATATCCTCCATGAGAAATGATACTTAAAAAAATGTAATCCATATAAAAAGATTTCTTCTCCCAGATTGGTGTCGGGGGAGTGGGAAGAGGGTCATAAAGCCCCAAGAAGCAATATATAATCTAAGTACCCCAAGACATCCCATGAAGCACCATTATACTCACATGCTAGGAAACTGTTTATATGGCTGACATTAATTTGTAATTCATCATTAATCTTTGTAAATAATATGTGAAGCCAGTCAAATATTTCTTTAAAAACATGTGATATGAGATTTGGCTAGCCACATTACAAATAAGTGTTTGTTTCAAGGATTTTGGAACCATTCATTACAATTTAATAATATTTCATTGATGTATTACAACTATAGGTAATCTAAAAGAAAAAATTAAAGATTAACATTCATAACTAGATTACAAATCTTATATTCTTAGACCACACAAGAGTTAGGATTACAGAATACCAAAACAATCACAATTACTGGTTGCATACAACCCTTGCAGCCAAATGTATTTCAGAATACATGAATTTTCCAAATTTTAGAACAATATAGTATATATACTATATATAACATCTCCATCAGGGCCTTGGAACAGCATCCTGTAAACAAACAATTAATATTGCTATAGTAAAATGTATAAATATTCAAAATAAATCAGATACAGACTATAAATGACTTCATGTCAATTCAGGTCAGATTTGCCAATAAATATATTACTTTTTTTTTACTTTTCAGAGATTTGGGATTAGAAACTGCAAATAAGAGTGTGCATCTATATACCATTTTCCTCTGAAAAAAAACTTTGATTAGCATTAGGCCATGCTACTCTATATGTCTAGAGAGAAATGATCTAAGAAATCCATATGAACAAATGCACATAAACATCACTATTAACAGTGTAAGTACTGGCAATAATGAGAAGGACATGCTATAAAGCCAGGACAAAGAGATCTATGAGGAATCTTCAAGAGCAGAAGTAGCAATAAAAGATTTGTAATTACCAGTTTTCTTGAAAAAATAAACAATGGTAAAGCATCAAATCATTTATTTTATTTTCTTCACTTGACATTAAGATCTTCTAGTAAAAGTATAATACTTCCATAGATATGTGAAGAAATCCAGGGCCAAAGTTTACTATCAGTTTATCTATTCTATATTAAATAATGGTGATAACTACCATATCTCTATGTTAATAAAAAATTACACTTATAGTTGTGTGACATGAATTTTGTTCATTATGATCAACCGTATACAGCATTCAGATTAAAGTAGCAGAATTCTCTATTATAATATTCATAAACATCATTTTATCATGAATTATCTAATAATATCCCCTTAATCTATTACCTAATATCACAAACGATAAATAATTGCTCAAATCATTAGGTTAATAGAGCAGTAAAATAATACACAACAAACCAAATTAAATCAAAATTGCACAATGGGTGATAAATAATGAAACAACTGATTTCTCACATCACAGATTATACAAATTATTTTCTTAATATCACTTGGGTAATTTATACAAATTATTATGTCAAGAACGAGTGGAGTCAAGATGATTAATTTAATATCTTCTGCCATCAAAAAGCTACCCTTTCTACCTAGGCCAAACGTGCAAAAAAAAAGGTGTTTGATCAAAACCTACTCTTTTGTATTAGTTGAGAGTTATTTTATCATCTATTGCGAAGCAAATGCATTCTGATTACATTGATATTTATCATAGTAAACAGTAACTTCTATCAGCTTTCTTTTGAAGAACTTCCAAGCAATAGTTACTATTGGTATTACAATAACATTCACATATCATTTTGAGTTATAGATTTCTTTCTCCATTTCACAGATGCAAAAATAAAACACAAAGTCCAGGTTACAGCTAACTTATATTACTTTATTTAATACCATTTTAATATTTAAATAGTGTTTTCTATGTGCCCATTCCAATTACTTTACAATATTAACTCAGTTCTCATAACAATTCTATACGGTAGATATTATTGTAGGCTCTATTTTATAGATGAATACACTAAAGCATGCAGGGGGGTCAAATGCCTTGCCCAGTCACATAGCTAGTAAGTGGCAGAGCCAGGATTACAATCCATGTGGGCTAAGAATCACTGCTCCTAGAAACTATACTATATTTTCATTTTTCTGTATGAATTTCAATTTTAAAACTAATGGATAAAATGATTATACTCATTTTTTCAGAAATATTAAATATATCCTAGAAAGTATGAAAATATACATCCATAAACTTAAACTTTTTAATAGGAGCAGAAAAAGCTAAAACGAAACTATTTTTAAGACTTGAAAAGAAAAAGAGGTTTAGTATGAACTCAAAAAAACCTATGAAATCACATTGGAAGAAACACTTTGCTTCCCTATAGCTAGTGCTGTGGGATATTTTAAAGCATTATAGAGAAACACAGTGGATTATTTGCCTCAATATCTCCAGTAATATCTCTTGGGAGATCTCACACTATCTAAATATCAAAGATTATTTTTGAAATGTTCCTTGCAGTGAAGTTAAATAATAAATTTGATTTTTTTTTAGCAGAAAGAATATCACTAGGAAGTGGATTTATAGATTACATCTAAAGAGTTTGTGTTAAAGTTGCAACAAATGTGAAAAGTTGAAGCTTTATTTTTATTCTAGCTTACTCTTGATGAACTAAAATAGCTAACTTGTAGCTAATTCATACCAAGGAGAAATACCTCAGACTATCCTATTTCTTCACACATATACCCTAACTCATCCCTGAGGCTAGGTCTGCACATCTTCACATATCCAGTATATAGACATAAAATATGCATTTGTCTAATTCCTGGTTGATGTAGAATTGGTTGATCTGTCATGTACCGAATTATTGCCAACCACAAAGAATCTCTAGAACATGAAGCATTTCAAGGCTGGTAGGGAATTAGCCTTGAAAACTTAAGCTATGCCACCCTTCTGAGATTTTTCTGGAGTAAGATCAGGATCCCTGATACCCCCAGAATAAACTCAGCTTCCCTGTTTGGGGAACACAAGGTAAATAAAGTTCATCATAATATTTGTTCTGCGTTTTTTAAATTTTTTTTAATGTGGTAAACTGTACATAATATGAAACTTACTCGGTTTTACTATTTAAGTGTACAATTCATTACATTAAAGTCATTCACGATGGTTGTGTAACCATCACCACTACTTAGTTCCAGAACTTTTTCATCATCTCAGAAACTCTGTATCCATTAAACGCTAAATCCCTATTTCTCCTCTTCCCAGTCTCTAATAACCTCTATTCTATTTTCTGTCTCTTTGAATCTGTCTATTCTATATATCTCATATAGGTAGAATCATATTATATTTTGGCCCTTTGTGCCTGGCTTGTTTCACTCAGCATGCTTTCAAGGTTCATCCATGTTGCAGCATGTATCAGAATCCATTCCTTTGTATATAGGCTGAATAATATTGCATTGTACGTGTATATACCACACTTTATCCATTCATCTGATGATGTACACTTGAGTTTCACCTTTTGGCTATTGTGAATAATGTTGCTGTAAACATTGGTGTAAAAGTATCTGTTTAAGTCCTCATTTCAGTTCCCTGTGGTATAAACCTAGGAGTGGAATTGCTCCATTCCTTTGTATATATGCTGAATAATATTGCATTGTACGTGTATATACCACACTTTATCCATTCATCTGATGATGTACACTTGAGTTGTTTCACCTTTTGGCTATTGTGAATAATGTTGCTGTAAACATTGGTGTAAAAGTATCTGTTTAAGTCCTCATTTCAGTTCCCTGTGGTATAAACCTAGGAGTGGAATTGCTAGCTTATATGGTAATTCCATATTTAATTTTTTGAGGAATGCCAAACTGTTTTCCATAGCAGCCACATCATTTTACATTCTGAACTAAGAATGCATGAGGGCTCTAATTTCTCAATATCTTCACCAACACTTACTGTTTTGCTTTTTTTTTTTTTTTTAATAGTCATCCCAGTGGGTATGCATTGTCCTATAGTTTTAACTTTGACTTTTTTGGGAAAAGGGTTAGTCCTAGTTTCAAGTGCCACCTCTGCCATATGCTAGCAATGTGGATCTGGAAAAGCCATTCAGCCTCTTTGGGCCTCAGTTTTCTGATCTGTGAAGAGTCCAATAGTTTCTGCCATGCCTGTCTCACAGAGTACAGAGCCAATGAAATAGTACATGTGGGTGAAATATTATTTATGTGTTATGAACATCAGCCTTACTAGCAAGACCATCCCTGTTCTAAGACAGACGTATTAAGCTATCTTAACCTAAGGCCATAATAATACCATGTATTTAACTCAATTTTTAAAACTTCCTAATTATAAAGTATAGCACACACTGAAAAAGCACATAAAATCTAAATGCTACCCAGCTTAAATAACTGAATATTCCTAGCACCCCAGAGCTCTGTATTACAGCACCCTCCCTCCCTATAAAGTTATCCACTATGGAGACTTTTATGGTAATTACTTCCTTGTTTACCCAAGTACACATTCCATAAACACCAAAATTTAGTTTTGCCTGCTTTTCATTTTAAAATAAATGAAATGAAGTATGTATTCCTTTTGCTCAACTTTATGTTTGAGACTCACATATGTTGCCTTGTATGTGTGCAGTTTGTTCACTGTCAATGCTGTATAATATTTCATTGTTTTGACAATACAGAAAATGTGTCCATTTTTCTATGAATACATTTTTGGGTTGTTTCTCAAATTTAGCTATTAAGTAAATTCTACTATGATCATTCTAATAATGGTCTTCTGCACATGTGCAAACATTTCTGCTGAGAATTACTGGTAATAGAATAGCTGTAAAGAAGGTAGACTTTATAATGCCAGTTTTTAAAGGTACCAATTTTCACTATCACCAGCAGAATAAGAGAGTTCATATCACT